TAAAGTTTAATTCCATAAAGTTTGGAACAAAACGATATTGATTCCAAAAAAAAACCATTTTCTTCTGTTATTAATAAACACTAGATAATCTACTAAATATAGATTATTGCTCTTTGATTTTATTTCAATGTCACTTTGTTCTATAATCAAAACTCAAGAGAAATAGTTTTCCTGCATGTGTTTGCAGCGTTTAGGTTTAACCACATTCCTTAGTTCTTTTTCTTGAAAAAGTCACAACATACCCAATTGATGGTTATTGTAATTTTTACCCCCTTATGTAAATGTAACAACTAATTAAATAACCTACTTTTCATTAATTGATTTAAACAAAAGTTGGCCCCACAAGTTTAGCCCAATTCACATGCTCAAAAGCCTCTAGTTAGAGGTCTATAACCCATTTAAAAATTAAAAAAAAAAAAAAAGAATTAAACTAAAAAAAATCAAAAAGCAAACTGAAATTTTAGTTTTTAACCAAAAACCAAATTTAAATTCAGTTTGGTTTTGGTTTTTATTCATGATAATTCGATTAACTAAAAACCTAATCGAAATTCATAAAAACTAAACAAAAAAAAAAATCGCTCACCTTTAACAAAAAGGTCATCTAGTAGAAATTCAAGAATTATGTGAATGTTACAACAAAGAAATGGATGTTTTTATCTTGTATAAAGAAATGCAACAAATTGGAGTTTTCTTTAATGTACGAAGGCTAAGTTTTGTCTAGCAGGAAAAATTCAAAAACTAACAAGAAGTTCATGTGTTTATTGATTTGCAAGCCCAATTGCTTTACTAAAGCCAAATTAGGTCAAGACCAGGAATGGTATATAGAAAGTGACGAAATATTTCGAGAAGTTAAAAATAAATGTAGATCTGGAGATTTCTAAATAGGTCAACCTTTCAAACTAAACCCTCTATAATGAAGAGGTATTATGCAAGTTTTAAAAAGAATTAAACAAGAAAAGGTCGTCCAAAATATATAATTGTGTAGGACTCCAAAAACTATGAAAAAGTTACCTACAAACAAATGAATACTTATATCTTATACAAATAAATCTTAGAAATTAAAATATATAAGAAATGTATTAGAAGCTTTGTTTTATGCAAGATATTGGCGACGGATTTGGAAAGGCAAAGAGAACCTACAAAGGATAGATAACCTATGGATTGCAAGAAAGTGATCTTGAATTATTATCATAGATTCATTACAAAAATTGTGACATAATCTACAAAAATTAAAGAAAAAGGTAAAAGAAATAAACCCCAAGCGAGTGAGTGAAGAGAAAAAGGATGGTTGGTGGTGACTGGTGAGTAGAGTAAGAGGAGAGCGAGGACGGAGATAAAGATTAAAATATGGGTAGATTTAGGGTTGTGGGTTGGAGAAAAAGAGAAAAAATAATCTTTCTTAATATTGAAAAAAAGAGAGAAAAAAATGATTGTCAAAAATTAATATCACAAAGAACGATTTTTATTTTTGTCTTTAAAAAATTTGGTTTTTGGTTGAATCAGAATAAAATTTTCACAAACCCAACCAAAGTAAAATAATTTTATTTTTTGATTTTGTTTTTTCTTTCTAATTTTAAGTTTAAAATTGAATCAAAATACCAATTTCAGTTTAGTTCAATTCGATTTTCAATTAAAACATAAATGTGCTCACCCCTAAATGTAATCGTGTAAGAATCCAAGAACTATTAAAAAGTTACCAACAAACAAATGAATAATTATCTCTTATATAAAGAAATTTTGGAAACTGAACTATAAAATAAATGTACTATAAGCTTCATTTTACGTTGACATGCTAATTTTTCTGCTAGCAAGCAAGGTTCAACAACTAATAATAAGTTTAACGGTTTTATTTATATACGTGTGGGTGTGGATGTGCAAGCCCAATTGCTTTACTAACGCCAAATTAGGTCCAAATGAGGAAGGGAGTAGTTAGCGACAAAATATTTTAGGAAGTTAAAAATACATGTAGATATAAAAAGAATTCAAGAAAGAACTAGGAACTTAAAGAAACAATTCAAGAACTATTAAACTTAAAGAAATAACTTAAAAGAAAGAATTCAAGAACTTTGGAAAATGTTATTTTGGATTAAACCTTTCAGGTGCTCTAAGAAATAAGGTTGTAGATTCTTGAAAACCCATCTGGAAAACAATTTTACCTGCACTTTCATCTATATTTTGTTCTTCAATTTTGTCTCGAATTTTTTTTGCACATCACGCATCGGTTGAGTTTACCACCACCATAAACCTTTTGGAGAACGAGCTGCATTACCAAATTCTATTGATAAAAAATTTGAACCATTCTTAAAATTACCAAAGAGCAAAGAGCATCGATTTTTTTTAACCAATAAGAAACACCAACCACAAGTCTCACCCCACAAATTTAAAAAGGTTATAACCACGTGAGTCCGTAGTTTTTAAATTATTATCCATGAAACTTACTACGTGAGTCCGTAGTTTTTAAAAAGGTTATAACTTATATAATGTTGCTTTCTTCTTCTTCTTTTTTTCCACGTAATAAGGTATATTAGCATTTCCTTTCACAATAAGGTATATCAGCATTTCCATTAAATGAAACTATGTCTACTAAGAATTCAAATAAAATCATAAACGAATGTTCAACACAAATATGTTTTCTTGTGTGAAAATATTATATTCAATGCCAAAATTTATGGAAACTGCTGCTTGTGTATGTCTTATATGCAATACTACTTAGAGTTCAATGAATGGTAAGTCAAGCAAAAACCTTTAATTATCCTAAAAGCAGCCACACTACTACCTTTGATCTTTCTATTAAGAGAGGCAAAATCTTAGCTTGAAAGATAGCGGTGAACATTTTACTGTTACAAGAGATAATAATAATAATAATAAAAAGATAGAATGACATTCCCAAATGCCAAAACAACAACTCCTTCCCGCACTTTATATGTCCATTCACTTTTGATCTTGCATTTATATCCACCTAACACGAGACATGTCCCTTTGTTTCAAAGAAGCTTCATCTAGTTTAAAGTTGATCGATAAAAGCATGTCCACTGATCCCGTTATTGTCTAGATACAAATCAATTCGAAATGCATGAGATCATATATACACATACGTACTGCTCTAATTAATTGAATTGACCCCCAAAGTTGTATTTTCTTATTGGTTTTTTGTTTAAAGATTACACGACATATTTAACTACCTGGTCATCGAAATTTGAGAAGTTAATCCAATCCAAATTAAGAAAGAAGCAAGTTGGAAAGATTGCTAAAAACTGATAATACAAAATTTGAGAAAGCTAGCACTCCTTTATGGCTCTTCAAATTGCAGATCTAACTACTGTTAACGTGACGCAAATCTTTTATAAAGATAGGAAAAGGAAATAGTAAAAGGAAGCTGGGAAGATTATTTTGTGAATATTGACCATTATCCAGATGTACTTTACACGACATAAGACGTGGCAAAGGACATTCTCGATCAAATGTTGAAAGAACTATTATATTTTGCTAAAAGAAAATGGATCGATGGAGATCATCGATTTCCTTTTCTTATTTGGAAATGTTGCTGACTTCTCCTTTCATTCTGCCTTTTTCAAGATTTTTGGCACGTTTTAAGAAAACTTATCTAATAAATTCATTCTATGATAAGAGAACTATCAACTTGGTGTATGGCAATTAGCAGTCTCTGCACTGTTGCCTGTACAATCCATAGAATTATCCATATTGTTTAATTATTTAGGTTCAAAATTCATTGCAAGATACACTGTTCTGCTTACAGTTACTAAAGCTTGAAACTAGGCATGACATTCATTTGATTATTAGTTCATGCACAAATATTTCTTCAAGAGAACCATGCTATCAGCTGTGCCATTTTTCCCAAAGCTTCCACCTCATATATACGCAGCAAAGAGATTGTCAAGTACTGATCTGTATGTTAAGGATGATTTTCTTGTCCAAAAGATACTGCGCCTGGCATGGAAACGCTTCCCAAGTTCCTGTGATTTTGCTCATGGAAACGGATATGACAAACCCCAAAAAATTGCAGAGTAGACATTCCACACTTTAGTTTGATTGTCAGCACGTATATTAATAATACCCCATAAACTGTCTAAAGTCATGCATGGTCAAATCACTTATTTTGGCAGCTAAATTTTCAACAAACATCAGCCGCAAACAACATGTATAGTGCTTTCTTTTCTGGCCTATGCTTATGATCTTATCATTATCCTCATATTAAAAAACAAACAAACTAACATCTGAGCCACTTTAATGAATAATGACCAACTTTTGTCACCATACTTATGTTTATTCTAATTGTTGACACGTAATTTCCATTGTTTGACTAATGATCAGCACGTTTCTCTTAATACAAAAGCAGCTTTTTCATGCTTAGCGTAAAAACAAAATCATTTCAATTTCTACACACGTAAGCATAGTTTTTAGCAATTGTGCATCCGATAACATTTTTTAATGAAGAAAGTTCAAGTTTTAACGATTTTTATTTATTTGATTTGCAGCTTAATGTACTCATCATGCATGCGCTGCAGGGTTAATTTCAAATCGAATTTGATGGGAAAGATACAGAACCTTTACAAATCATAGCCAACACGATCACATAAAGCATGTCTGAATCAAACTTTTGTGCCATTTAAACTTCTGCATGGAGAGTCTTTTTCCTATACATTATGGACAGTCGCCTTTTTTTTTTTTTCACGTAAGCATGTGCTCTATGAATATTCCGGACATGGATTGTCCATAGCTCTTGCATCACTGGTTAGCAACTTGGCTGCCACTGCACAAATTCCTTTTGGTACCATGTTGCGTGGATGGCAATTTGTTTTTTTTTTTTTATTCTCAGAATATCTCAAATTCGAAGATCCAAATTAATCCCTTCCTGTTTTATTGGCCAACTTTATTTGATTGCTAATTAATCAAATCACATCTGCCTTTCTTTTTCCAAATTTTCGCAAATAACTACACAGTTATTCCAGAAAGAGAGAGAGAAAAAATATAAAATATAATGCCAGAAGTGGGATTTGAACAGACGCCCTCTTTCGAGGACCAGAACTTGAGTTTGGCACCTTAGGCCACTCGGTCATCCTGACCTGTTGGCTCCGAAATAGTTACATTATAAATACCAAAATTAGTCTGTCTGAGGCCAGCTACACCAAGAGAAACTAAGTGTGTCCGATCTACCTGTAACGCGGAAATGGATCAAAACGATCAGTCAGCACAGCCAAGAAAGATGAGAGTAGGGGTCCCACGATCAAGTGACTTCCACGGCACCATGGACTCACTGACGTGGATGAGCATCAATATTTTTACAACTGGGCATCTTTTCTTGCTAATTTCAAAAGCAAAGTCGGTTCCTAAAACCTTCCTTTTGCTTTAAAGGTTCCACACTAGGCCCCATGTATCGGTGAACGGGCTCGGCCCAATAGACTCTCGAGTTTCTTTTTCTAATCCAGTTTTAAATAGCCAAAAAAAAGTATATTGCATAGTAAATATATAGTTTGCCACAGTATTCTCTCTAACTATCGCATCACAAATCCAACAAGAAAAAATCTGATTCAAAATTTGCAAATAAAGTCTGATTATCACTGATTGATGAAATGGATCTTACCTGTATCACTTAAAATAAGCCAGAGTCTGGTTAGGAACATTAAAATTTCGTCAGCAAAGGACGCCGATCTTTGCTGTCCTCGCCGGCATTGGTAGGAGAGAGTGTCTCATCGGCTGGCTGCAATGTTCAGTGTACACGTGGCAAATTAGAATAGAAATCAAAAGTGTGTCAGCCGTCCCTCGAGCCAAATTCTTGATCCATGCAAAATACTCCATTGCTCACGCACTCTCTAACTCCATGAGAAAAAATAAAATAAAATACCACTCTATGTTAACCAATAGCAAGAAAACACAAAATCAAATGCGGCAATTTTAAATTCCACCTTCATTATATTGATTGAAACATATAAATCCCATGGTAATTTTCGTTTATAAACACAGGAAAATGCTAATTTTATGAGGAGTTGTGCTTTATTTCCTCGCAAACAAGATAATTTTTTAGACAATTTTTACTGTGGATCTAACGTTTATAAGAGAAAATTTATTAAATATATTCGAATTTATATTTCTATCTGGCATAGACATATGACAAACTATCGAAATTATAAATAAATTCGATTTTTTTTTTTATAAGAGATGCGAGCATAACCTAAGGTGTACTAAATAATTAAAGTATAATTCTAAGTACTTTTTCCCAATTTATAATTGGATTTTCCCAGACTATCTGCTAATAATTTATTAAGCACAATCACAATCAGAAGATCAATCGATAATTTGAGGAAACAATATTTGGGATGTGCTAAATTACTATTTAATTATTTAATTATCATTGGATAAGACAATCACTTTTTGAAAAACTCTCTAGCATTAATGTGAAACAAACCCTATTGCGTGATTCGAAAATCGCTACATAAAATTCGATTAAGAAATTCCTCTCATCAGATATTTATTAGGAATCGAATTCTATTTTACAAGATGTCAAGATCAAGGAAAATGCGTGTAAGATACATAGCTACAGTCATCAGCTATTAAAAACAAAAAGGCTGAGATTCGTGAACATTTTTCATCCAACACGTTAACTAGGCTATATATATACATATATATATATATATAGGGCAGAATAAGTTGAAGAAGATCAGATTTAAAGAGGCTTTAAGAAAGCAATGTCCAGATCCTCTTGAAGGACATGACCTTCTTCAATATCAAGAATTGGTTTCTGTTTCTAAAATCAATTGATTTTGCAATAAATCTTACGGAGTCATGTCAATGAAGTAAAATATCTTGATAGAAAGTTAGGCAGAGAGAAAGTTTATGAAAGAAACAATAAAAAGAAGCAGAAAAATAATTTGGCATTCTAGCCCACGGCTTTTTTAAACGTTTCATAAAATGAAAATTGAAAAGTAGTCGACTAGGTGTGGATAGATATCAATTTGATCTTAGCCAAAAGATGAAACAGATGATCAAATTAATTAGCTGACCAGCTAGGTCTGGGTGTGGTGGGGCAAGAAGATGATGTAAGATGTTACTTTGCGATAAAAAAAAGCACAATGCAAATTAATTTCTATGTTTTGTAAATCTAAACCGTTGATTTGAAAATCCTATTAATTGATGGGCCAAGAAAACCGTCTCCTTTGATTCGTTGAAAAAACACCCAATGAAAGGTCTCCAAATAAAAGAATATCTAAGTGGTTAAACCTATTTTCCAAATCCTTTTTCACAAGACCCTTAACTCATCCGTTCCAGTAAATATTATAAGTTAGCAATGCTGAATCTAAGAGTAAATTATAAATTAGTCATTTACTCATTTTAGTTTTTGAGATACGAATTAATATTTTTTTTTCAAAAACTAATTATTAATTTTTATATTTTAAATTTTCTTATAACTTAACTATTTTTGTTCTTTTTCAATTTATTTTAAAATAAATAAATAAATAAAATATAGGGAAGGATTATTAAAAAATAATATTTTTTTAAATAAAATACTATTAAATTAAATGTGTTCAACACTAATTAAGGGATTGAATAATTAATTTTAAAACAACAAGGACTAATTAATCTATTTATTAAAAATTGAGGGATTAATTATAATTTACTCAAATCTAAATTGCTGAGTGTTTTTTTTTTTAGAGAGAGAGTGTGTGCGCGGGGGTTTTCCAAATATAAAAACATCATGGGTGTCTCCTAGGGAAAAATTATTTATTGAAATTCTCTCTAGGGTAACACACATCCTTGCCAAGTTTGACTATAGTAGGTCATCGTGGAACTGTGACTTTCCGAAATTTTGTCTTTACAGAAGATTAGATTTTATTCCGACTTCTACCTTTATAAATAGAGGTATGGAGTAGGTGACATAAGTTTCTTACCTTCACATCAAATTCTGATCTCCTACCGATCCCATTTCTGATCTCTTTCATGCAAAAAAAGTACTTTGTAATTTATGTAGTTTAATGGGCAGAAAATCCCTATCATTTCTTTGTTCATCTTTTCTCACATCCATCTAACAACCGAAGAAGCCCTCTTTCGCTCTCCTTCTTCCTCCTACTATCATCAATAGACAGCTTAGCATTTTAACCACCAGAGGAAGATTTTTTTAAAACCACACATTAGTTATTTATATACATATCCTTTTGTTACACCTTAGATTTCTCAAAATGGATCACATCTTCTCCAGTTCTGCTCTACACATCACTCTCATTTTGCTTACAATCTGCAAAGGTACTGTTTGAAAACCACCGATCAAGCTGATTTTGTTTTTGTTTTTGTTTCCTTAAAAGTTCTGTAGCTTGCAAGTGTGTTTTAAATAATACGGGACATGTACATTAATTTATTACAGGAATATCAGGGGCTACATTTACAGTCATAAACAGATGTGACTACACAGTATGGCCAGGTATTCTATCCAATGCAGGCAGCACTCCTTTAGATAGCACAGGATTTGAACTTCCACACGGTGGATCACGATCCTTTCAAGCACCACCAAATTGGTCAGGTCGATTCTGGGGCAGAACCGGTTGCACATTTGACCTGAATACCGGTCAGGGTACCTGCCTCACTGGCGATTGCAGCTCCAACCAAATCGAATGCAGCGGTAAAAATGCAAACCCACCAGCTACCCTTGCAGAATTCACTGTCGGATCAGGTGGACAGGATTTTTACGATGTTAGTTTAGTTGATGGGTACAATTTACCTATGATTGTCGAACCGAATGGCGGGTCAGGTAGTTGCTTGTCAACTGGGTGTATCACAGATTTGAACCAGCAATGCCCTGCTGAATTACGGGTCGAATCCGGACAGGCCTGTAAGAGTGCATGCGAGGCCTTTGGGAGTCCTGAGTACTGTTGCAGCGGCGCGTATGGAACACCGGACACGTGTAAGCCATCTGTTTATTCGCAGATGTTTAAGGCTGCCTGTCCGAGATCATATAGCTATGCTTATGATGATGCCACTAGCACATTTACGTGTACCGGAGCAGATTATGTTATTACATTCTGCCCTTCATTATCAAGGTAAGGATTGTATGCTGCTGTTTTATTTTTCACTTTATTCGGTATCTATATTATATTATAGGTGTTGTCTGCATTTCCATTGTGGATTCTTACAAGAATCTGCAAATGTTCTCTTCTTTTTGAGTAATCGATTTAGCTTTCGTGCTACTTTTTTACAACTATTCTTTGCTTTTTTTATGCCTCAAGCTAACAAGGTGTCTTTGCCATTAGCTTGTGGCATACAGAAAGGAAATGAGAAAAATATATATATATATATTTATATGTGTGTGTGTGAAGATATCTTAGTTTTCAGTGTTTGCAAGAGGAATTCATTAGTTATGGATTATGTTTGTCATATTTTAATCTTAGAGTTATTATTTATTTGTTTTCATTCCGCAGTCAAAAATCTGCAAGAGACACGTCTCCACCAGCAAGCACAGCAAATGGATCTGAAACAGGAACAGGATCAGGGGTTGGGCCAATTGGAATTGACACCTCGTGGTTGCCAAGCTTTCTAACTGGGATCTCACCCAGTGCGGTTTCCTGTTCTGCTTGGCAGTTTAACTTGATTCTTTCTGCGATTTCCTGTCTATTCCTCTCTTCGGTTTATTTATAGCCTCAATTTTAGACAAAGGCACATGCAGCTTAAGTGGTCGCTCGGAGTTTGTTTTGCATTGGAAGGAAAAGCTGATCAAATCCAGATTGTAAAGCCAATTTTCTAGGCCACATGTATAGAAAGTTGAGATCTTATTTTTTTTCATGGACAATAACATTATAAATGTTGTATTGTTTTCACTTTTTACTTTAGAGCATGAACCATTTGTAATCTAAAGCAACGAATTAGAAAGGAAGAGACTTTCGCGATTGGCAAAATCATTATTCTAATTGATTTAGATGGCATTAGACAAAAGTGTTTGCTTTACTGTGAATCTTGAGTAATACGTTTGGTGAAAACCGAGGAAGCCCACCTTGCTGGAATTGCAAGCTTGGTAGATTTATCATGGATTTGGCTACAAAATGAGAAGTGTAATGATGCTGTCTACAAAAGGGCTATCCACCCATCATCTCCTTAAATCCATGAAATTAACCTTTGTTTTTATGTTGAAACTGACCATGAATCAAGTAATCAACAAAAAACTCAGACATTTTTTGAGATTTATATCTGCTAAACCTTGCATGATCTAGCTTTACCTCTAACAGACCCCTCAGCTTTTTCCAAAGCGGGCAAGAGTAACATCAATGCCTGTCCTAAGATTAAAATTTGGCCCATAAGATGTAGATGGCAAACAGTACTTATATCTTCCATATAAGGAAACGACTAGTACACTGTCAAATCAATTACCATACGCATGCAATATGGATTCCCATCTTGTGGTGTGTTCATGAAATTGGATGAGATAGGTGATGTGAGAAGTGAGAGCTAGTAACAGAATTTTTTTTTTTTTTTTTTTAATGACAAACTTTATGCAAATATAGTGATCTTCCTGAAATTGGAGTTTGTGGTTCAGAGGCTCCTGAAAGTAGAGAACTCAAAATTCCTGCACTTGATAGGTTACTCTTGCTTTAGCTTGAAGGCCTCTGTGCTTATGATTCTAAATTCGGTGGGCTTTGAATGGTGGCCATAGAAAATTTTGCATGAGTGCTACTTTGACCTCCCCAAGCACTAGGAAAAGAAGATTTTATTATAATGGGATATGCTAATATTTCAATGGAATGTAGATTTTAGTCCATCGGAAAGGACAAGGGTCCCAAATCCATGTCCCAAGGCTAGAAGAATTAGGATTTGGTCCCTTCGTGATTTGGAATATAATTATGTCAAAGATGGTGCAGTTGGTCATATGGTGCAAGTTTTCCACTACCAAGTTTGGAGACACATTAGCGGCTTTAGTAATTACCACCAATCTAATTTATAACTTCTTATTTCTCAAAAACACATCAAGATTGTTTCTGTCAGTGGAAAATCATCAAAGGCATCATCAGCAATGAGAGAAACGTGGAAATTAATTAAATTAATTTGTGTATCTACTTTCGTAAGGGCCATGGCAGAAATCTTTCAAGAAAATTCTTTTTTATTCTGACAATCATAACGAGTACTTAAATTAGTCATAGGATGAGAAACATGAATGTCTACTTAAACTCGGTAATGTTTAAGACAAATATGATTGAGACTAAAGTGCTGCATAAAATGTAATCTCTAGAGAATCAAATCCTCTTCTTTTGTCACTCTCTTGAATCATTTCTTTTGGAAGTGGGTTCTATACTTCTATTGTTTATTCTTGGACGGTAACAATGAAACAGAAATATGTGAAGGATGATTTTGGTCCCTTAGGAAGGCTTTTCTAAAATGAGGAATCTTATGTTTTTGTGGAAAGTTCAATTGAACTCTCTGATAAACCAAGTTCAATGAATAATGGGCAAAAAGTTGGCAACCATTAAAATTTGAAAAATAAAAATTGCTGTTTTTTTGTTGTTAAATTCAGAAAAAGCCACAAATCGCAATTGATGTTTTTCATATATATATATATATATAACTTTAACAACATGGGAAGGACGAAAAAAAAAAAAAAAAGCATCAAAATATACACGAGAAAGAAATACTTATTATAAAAGAAATGATAACAATAATGGAATTAGAGAGAAAGATGATAGGGAAAAAAATTCACTATAAGATAAAGTGAATACAAGAGATAAAAACTTTAAATAATCTCTCATTCTTTACAAAATATTTGTATATCAACTAATGAACAATCAAGTTTATTTATAGGCTTCAAGTTTAAGAAAAGATTTGAAAGGAACTATAATTTCTTATATTGAATAATAAATTGAATCACATTAAAAATAATAGATAATGAAAATATGAAATAGCCATCATCATTCATTATTCATAACAATACTTTTCGTTTTCGTTTCTTTCTCAATTTTCTTGGGCTTTGTATACCTCCTATTCGGCCCAGCCCACCTTGCTTTACCACAAACACTGACAGAATGAGAAGAAAGAAAAACGCAGTTTTTTCTTTTTCTTCCCACACCCCCCGCCCGCCCCACCACCCCCCGCGTCATGCCTAGCGGCTGAGATTGCCTGGTTCACAATTTTATTATCTTTTTTCTTTTGGTACAACGGATGAAAGGAAGCAAAACGAAACAGATCTAAGAGTTGTCATTGGTGATACCTAAGATCAAGGAAAAAGAAAAGAGTGATATCCATGAGGAAGTTAAAATAACAGCAAATATACAATGGATGCTCTGGAAATCACAACCATAGATATTGAATTCATAATCTTAAAAGTCAAACAAAGACAAAGTTTGTAGCTATCCCATCATAAACCGTAAGCATAAAATGCGTACGCTAAATTCTTCGATAACAACTAATATGAGCCTCTCTCTTTTTCTTTTTCTTTTTCTCTTTTTTCTTTTTTTCCACAATTTTCCAACGACTTCTATAACATTACCTCAAGACACTCATGACAAGCTAACTTCTCATAAAAATTCTTTATATGAAAATCTTAAAAGTATAGTTTTGAATTGAACTCTGCGAGTTGATGGTCTATGTCAAAAGTTACTAGAAAGGAAAATTGGGCTTTGGTGGCTTAGTAGCATAGGTCGGATAATACCCTGCTGGGTGCTGACTTTCATTCTGACATCTTTATTGCTTCGAGCAAGTAGCACCAGACTATTAGTCTTCAGGAGAGACACCAATGTCTAGTGGCCAATAAAAACCTTAGAACTTTACTAGCCATCCCAAAGGTTATAGCATCCTCGCCCAAGTCTTAACCTCTGCTCAATCTCTTAAAATTACTAGTTAATTTTACTCATGGCCTAGTTTGAATCCAGAGTTCCTGGTAAAAGGAAAAGGCACATACAAGCTAGCTAAAGTTAATAAATTCTTGGTCTTCGCATGTGCTCGGAAGTCGGATCTATGCTGCAACCTACTATCACTTGATGGACCTTATTGGACCGCAAGATCCAGCCACAGTATCTCGGTACGGGTTACGAAACAAGACGCAACAAAGATGCCACTCTGTTTATCATTTCTGCAAGTCATCATTAACCAAGTGCTGAAAAGGTAAAATCTCTAGAGTATACATTAATTAGCTCTAAGATCTAGTGTTTTAAAGTTCGACAGAGAGAAAAATACATGAAGCAGTTCAGCTTCTCTCAAGGAACAGCATAACAAGAAAAGGAAATGCCTGAAAAAGGATGGAAGTGGCACATTTCTTTGGCAGTCTACAACTCATCCTTGTCAGCAGAGGGTTCTGTATCCTCATCATCTCTAGCGGATTCAGCTTCGGTGTTAGAAGTGGTTTCTTTTGTTTCAGTTTCAACTTCAGATTCTTCTACATCATCTTCCTCTTCAATAGCAGCATCAGGACTGATGCTTAGGCTAGATTTCACAGAGCTATAAATACGAGAAGCAAAATCTTTGGGATCACTGGGTAAGAAGCCACTATCCATGAGAGCCGTTTGGTACATGAGTTGGGCAGTTTGCTTTACATTATCATCCTGAAGAGAGAAAATACCCGTTAACTATAAATAACAGAAACGGAAATATTGCTCAAAGACCGAAAATTTTTAGTCCAAGATAGGCGACAAGGACTTCCATAAATCATCCAGGACATGCTACCACTAGCAAACAGAAAAGCTTTAGCTAGTATGAAAATGCTGATTGATGATGGACCTCCAGTGGATTCCTTAAATAAAGGTATAAGCATGCAAAATATTACTAGCTCACTTATGCCATGAAAATGCACAAAACAATTTCCCCAAATCTATCCATAAGCGTTCAAAGCACCCACTTAGCACCATAAAGTCAAATCCACTAGTGAATTTGATGCTAGCAGTTCCTCTAGCATCAAGTCTAGCATCAAGCCACAGAGCCGACCTTATTTGCAGTCACTAATCATCATATATGTTCCACCAAAAACCCAAACACAAAATCCCTAAGAGGTTACAAATAACCATCACAGGCCCCCAACAACATCTTACAAGTTGTATGCTATCAGAATAGATCTCAACTAGGATCTGGCAGGAAGACAAACACAAGGACACAAAATAACAAACCCATATGTCCAAATTCATGCTTTTAAAACACAAGGACACAAAATAAATAACAAAAATTTGAAAATTTTACCTCAGGGTCCGTCACAACTCTCTCACGGAGTTCCTTGATGATTGGATGCCTTGGGTTAATCTCAAGCACCCTCTTGCCACGCATATATCCTTGCTTGTTAGCATCTGACAAAGTTTGAGCCTGCATTATCCTTTCCATATTTGCACTCCATCCATATTTTGATGTCACAACCACACAAGGGGTGTCAGCCAAACGATTGCTAATTTTGACATCATCAACGTTCTCACTGGCAAGAGTACTCTTCCACCACTTGGTGAGATCCTTGAATGAATCCTTTAGCTCCTTAGCTTTTGAGTCTTTTCCAAGTTTCAGTCCCTCCTTGGAAACATTCTGGAATTTCTTGTCTTGATAATCCATCAAATATTGCATCAAATATTCATCAACTGGATCTGTGAAGAAAATAACCTGGCAACAATGCCAAACAGAAAGATAAATTGAATCAGAAAAAAATAAAGGGAGATAACTATTCCAGTTTCCAGGATACAAAACCATGGAATCAGAAGAAATGCTGGAGAAAATAACGTGGAATCTAATATCTTATCCTAAGGTGAAATTTTTCTCAATTCATACCTCATAACCCTTCTTCTTAAGCCTCTCAAGGAAAGGAGATTTTTCCAGCTGCTCCTTGTTCGGTCCAGTTATGTAGAAGATATCACTTTGCTTAGATTTCATTCTCGAGATGTACTGATCAAGTGATGTCAATTTTCCATCTGACAATGTGCTGTAAGAGAGGATTCAAATACCGTAAGTCATGACAGACAAATCATAATACTGACACTGCTTAAGAAATCAATTTCATAAAATAATTCATAAAACTGGACATTACGTTTCAAATCTGAGAAGTTTTGCCAAGCGATTTCTGTTAACTGAATCCTCAATGATACCAAGTTTGATAGACTTGCCAAACTCATTCCAGAATTTTGCATATTTACCTCTCTTCTCATCATCACTGGAATTCTCGACATCTGCATCCATAATCATACCAGCCATCAGAAACACTTAATAAATTTCAAAGCTAGCTTTAGGGGATAAAAAGGCCACACTGTTATAACTAAGACAAGTTAATATGATTAGTGGAGAAAATAAAAAAAAAACAACCCAAATAATAGCAAGACCGTTCTAGGTTAATGACAGCAATACCTTTCTTGTCTTTGTCATTTGCCTCATCAGGATCCTCATCAGCAATTTTACGGATCATATCAAGTGCCTTCCTGATAAGTTTCTTCTTGATTGTTTTTAAGCTGCTGTGTTGTTGAAGCATTTCTCGTGAAACATTGAGTGGTAAAGTGTCAGAATCAACGAGACCCTGCTCAAAACATCACCCATTTTGAATCAATATCTCCAGTATCTTTTATGTGTATAAACACACACACACACACACACAAAAAGCAAAGTAGTAGAGTTCTTTAGCATTAGTCCATTACCATCAAAAAGTTCAGATATTTTGGCAGAAGCTCGTCAAATTCATCTGAGATGAAAACTCGTCTAACATATAACTTCAGGTTGGCTTTATTAGCATTGTAATAGCTCTCATATAGATCATGGGGAGCCTTTGGTGGAACATACAAAACAGCCTTGAATTCAACATCACCTTCTGCAGTAAAGTGACTCCATGCCAGTGGCTTCTCATCACCAAAATCCTGTTGATACCAGTGAAAAAACCATAAAGCAGACCACTAAAAATTTCTCAGATATTAACTGACAGAAGCCATGACAATGTGGTAAAGAAAGGAATTATTCAGCATATCCAGTGTACTTCTCCTTCCTCTCACATTCATGAGGGCCCGATTGATAGTTTTCCACAGGATGTACTTCCAGAATATAAAAGAAGGAGCAACACACACAAGTGGTGGTGAAGGCAAATTACCTTTGCTAGAGAGTGGTAGAATTTTGTGTACTCTTCCTCTGTCACCTCCTTTGGATTTCTCAACCATATAGCCTTAACATCATTCAAAAGTTCCCACTCATAAGTAGTCTCCTTAATTTTTTTGGTTTTTGGTTTATCCTCTGAATCCTCATCTTCACTTTTCTCGGATTCGCTTTCTTCATCAGAAGAGCTGCTTTCAGCTGTTTTTGTCAACAGAGTAAAAGCAAACCACAAGATTAAATTAGACTACATTTTGAAACTCAAGTACTTAAATAATAAAACATTATACACTGCCATCAGATGATGCATACATGTTTCATCTTCATCACTAGACTCATCTTCGTCAGCAGGAACCTCCACATCAACCTCTTTACTTGCCCACAAATATATTGGGAAATTGATGAATTCAGAATATTTCTTCACCAAATCCTGACGAGGAAAATAATTTTGGTTTATGGCTCAAAATTCAAACAGGATCTAAGACAATAAAGACAATCGTTAATCAGCAAAGAGGCGATAAAAATAGAGTTCTATGTATCAACAAGCAATCCAGCTGCTCACCAAAATTGAGATCCGATCAGTACTGGATTACTAGCACTCTACTTAATTTGTTTAAGGCAATGATCAACTAAAAAGGTTCCATCAAGAAGTTGGGACTTTTCATCTCCATATTACAAAGAAACGCCAGACAGAAACTCTACCTCAAAAAAGAACATTGATATGATTCAAAAACTCCCAAGCAACAAATCTATAAAATTATTAACAACTTTAAACCTAACTCATTGCCATCCATTTTGTTTTTCGGCATCGATGCACTTGTCCTCCTAACCAACTTTCTTCTAATAATGAAGAGACCCGACAGCTAGTTTGCGTTCCTAAATTTTATAAACAAAAACCACAACAGTTGTTGCAACTATGCAATTGTCATTCAAGCTTATCATCCTATTTTGTTATGTTAAATACAACTATCCCTATCGAAATTCTCCAAAAGTTTCTTCTACATATTAATTTCATGCCCTATCCACCAGTACCATTTCAATTTTAAAATTCTGGAAGGCTTACTTTGTCTTTAGACACCGGAAACAAGCACGTCAAATAGCACCAAAAACAGTAAACTACAACATTACTTTAAAAAATATCAAGACACTCACTTTCAATTTACTCTCCTCCAAGTACTCTCCAGCTTCCTCCCTGAGATGCAATCTAATCTCAGTTCCACGTCCCAGAGGTTCGTTCCAGGTATCCTCGGAGATTGCAAATGCTCCATCAGCCTTTGATTCCCATACGTACCTGAATACACAAACCATGCGTAAACAACCCACCTTTCAAGTTCCCAAATACAAAACAAACCAGAGAATCCAATTCAATGAAAAAACTAGAATTAATCCAAAAACACTTACTGTATGTCATCATTATGCTTGCTGATGACTTCAACATAGTCAGCAACAAGATATACAGAGTAGAACCCAACTCCAAACTGCCCAATCAAATTTAGGTCCCCACTTGTCTGCATTTTCTCCACAAATGCTGCACCAAGAACACAACAATTTACATAAACATTTTAAACCCACAAACACCCAAAATGTACATTTTCCACCTTCTGTTCAATATAAATACCTGAGGTTCCTGACTTAGCTATGGTACCCAAATTCTTGATCAAATCCTCCTTAGTCATACCTATACCTCTATCACGAATCGAAAGAATTTTATTTTCCTTATCCAACTTAATCTGCATTTACCACACCAACCAACACATGCAAATATAAATCAAACCACAAAATTAATCACCATTTTAACAAATACAAAATTAACTAATCACTTACCTGAATATCGAGCTTGGCATTTTCGCCTTCGCCCAAAACTTCTTTATCCGTGAGCGAAAGGAATCTGATTTTATCAAGCGCCTGAAATTCACACAAGTTTTTTATTTAAATGTAAATCCAATGCACAGCGACAATAATCAAAATAATGAAAAATCGGGTAAATAACTAATGAATACTCACATCAGATGCATTGGAAATCAGCTCTCTAAGGAAAATATCTTTGTTACTGTAAAGAGAATTGATAATAATATCCATAAGCCGAGACACCTCAGCTTGGAACTGAAATTTCTCAGCAGTATTTCGAAGTGTTCTCTTCGAAATCGACTCCGATTCCCTAAACAAAAAACAAAATCCAATTCATGAGCAGACAGTGGCAAATATGTTATTTAAGCAAGAATAGAAGGCTAAAAAAGAGTAGGAGTAAGCAAACCTCTTAACGACATCAGAATCGGTTGATAATCCATTTGGAACGGCACCGAGTTTCTCCTCTACTTTTGGAGGATCTACGAGGGAATCAGAATCATCCTCTGCTTTTGCGTGTAACTTCTGACCTGTGAAACGGCAGATCAAGACACGAAATCACTGACTGATTGAGAATAAATCGATCTGGAGAAATTGATTCGAAAATGGTATTAAAAAAAATGAAGGTACCTTGATCTGAAATGAGAGAAAGAAGGCATAGTAGAAGCAAAGCGGAAGGGATCGTCCACTTCCTCATTTTGAATTTTTTTCAGTAGCTTCGCTCGGTTAAGAGATCTAAGTGTTAATTCATTGATCTAAGTGGCTATATAGGAGTGGGGTTTTATAGGAATGGGGTTTTAGATCTTGAAACTTGACTTCTGTTGGCTAAATTTGTTTAGGTTGGGTTGTGATGCCAGCGTGGATGATCGTACGGTTAGCAATTAGTATTAACACGTGGCTTGGTTTTATTGGTTTTTGATTCGTAAGTTGACGTGGGGGAACGAAGAGGTCAGGTCGGCCCCGCTGGACGACTTGAGATAGAGGATAGTTGACAGCTCTGATTGGCTGGAAATTGCAAAGGTGGATGATTGGACGGGGTGTGATGTGCAAACGTGGCAGAATGTTATTGGGTTTTATTCTTCCGTTGACGTGGAGAGTGAAGGCATGAGAGTCTAGATTGTTCTGCATGCATGTTTGGTTGCAGGATATCGGTAGTTCTATCGCGGATAACTTTATGTTCATCCATAAAAGGCAATAACAAGCGTGTTGCAAATTAAAATTCAGGAACCTTCTTATACTTTCTCAGTAACTTGTTTCATGCCTTTGGGCTCTACCTCTATACTAGTTCAATGAATCGTCAAACATTTTTGTTTTCTTGGCACATTTCTTAACAAATTTAAGTTGCACTTTCAACTAGAGTAAAAGGAGATAAATCTAGGATAGTGTAAATTGAATAAAACCATCTTAGATAGCTCAACAGTAAAACTTGAGTTTTTTTTTGGGTCAAACGTCAGGGGTTCTACTTCTGGTTTTGCTTCTGTATTATATCATAATACCGGTTTGGGAATTGCTCTTTGTAAAGCTTATAGTAGAAATCCGTTTTGTAATTATAACATAATTCAACCGGTCTATGAATTGGTCTATTGAATCTTCAGATTTGTAAAGCTTGTAGTAGAAATCCTACCTAAAAGACCTGTCCAAATATAATTCTCTCATTGTTGAAAAAATAAAATAAATAAAAACTGTATTTTTATGCAATATGGAATTATTGGTTGGCTGTGGCTATTCTCGTTTTAGCAAAAGACTTTCAATTTGCCCACTTTCTTAATAAAGATGAGGTGATGGACTTATTCAGCAAAATATCGAAGCATCATACGAAGGCAACAATGATCGTTTTTGTAAACAATATGTTTCTTGACACTTGTAACTTTATTGCTACGAAATCGAATTCTGTTTCTCTTTGGACCTTGAGTTGGAGGGCGTAATCATTGCTATTTTCCTATAATCCTCCGGTTTTTAATGAAAATAAAATTCAAAATCATCACACTTAAGTTATTATGACTCCATGTGACTTTACTGGCTAAATTCTAACTTATCCGAGTCGACACTGACATTTGAAAATACAGTTTCTAAAATCTTAATTAAATCTTCTCCTCTTCTCTTCATATGAACGTCATCGTGACTGTCCATATTTGTGCTGTTAGAGTTTTTTTTTTTTTAGGATTTTTACTCTTTTTTGTATTTATTCAATCTTTTTATTCTTCATTTTGTTTTTTTTCACTGTCTTTCTATTATAATGTTAATAGTTTATAAAGTGGTGTGACAGGTATCATCGTGTATACATAATATGAGTTATGTGTGAAATTTTAATAAAAAACTCAATCAATTTGAAAAATAAAATAAAAAAATTTAATCAAAGCAATTTAAAGAATATAATAATCAAATTATTAATCTTTTTTTTACATTTCATGTTATTTTATAAAACAAAAAAAAACACATTATGAATTGATGAAATATGTCATACGCAAGATCCTATCATATTAAATCTACAAATATTTTTAAAAAATATCATAATAAGTTAAAAATAATAAAACAACACCTAAAAAAATGACATACAGCTTAATAAAACGAAAATATGATGATGTATAATATCAATAAGAACTTCGATTGTCGGATTCAATCCTCTACAAAATGTATAAAAAAAATCTAAATGTTTTGAATAATTTAAAGTGAAAAATGAGGCTGCTCTCTTAAAAAAAAAAAAAAGGACTATGCCACTTTTTTATATATGAATAATTAGCTATTAGTCAATATTGCTTTTGTTTTTATTAACTTTGATTAACATTTTTGTATTTTTTAATGTATTTTTATTATGTTTAAATTATGATGCCAATTGAAAAAAATCTATTCATAGTTTTATTGCAGTGGGATCCCACATAGGGCATTTTCACACATTTAGAAGAAGGTTTTGAAAAAAATAATAATATAGAAAGTAAAGTAGTAATAGTAATAATAATTTTGTATGTTTTAATTTTTTTTATTAAAGTCATGTGTTATTTTTTTATATTGATTGAGTTTTTTTAATTAAAGTTTCATATAAGACATGAGTCACACATTCAAAAAAATAATATGTCACGTTAGTTTGCTAGCTTACAAACTAACGATATTATAGTGAAAGTACAGTTAAAAAAAACTCAACCAATTTGAAAAAGATGTAAGGTTTTAATTAAAAAAATTAAAAAGTACAAATACTACATATTAGCAAAACCTTAGAAACTTCTAATTTCTTACCGTTAAACATTGTTGTTGTTATCATTATTATTAATTTCCTATCACATAGGTTATGTTATTAATTGTACCCTTCCAAATGAGACAATGACAAATCAAGCCTTAATGACCGAGAGGGTGTTGGAGAGAGGAGAGCCACGGGCACAACTCCAGGACAGCAAAGCTAACAGCCCCGAGACAATAAATAAGTTGGGCATCATTGGGCTAGCTTTCGAAGAAAATCTTAATGACCCGAAAGTTCAACACTGCATGGCCCAGACTAGTCACAGTCCAAGTTATATAGGCTCAAACATTTTATTTTTTGTTCACTATCTATTCTTTGTTTTCAATGAATTTACTAAATAAATAAATATCTCCACATCAATTGAAAATGGAAAACCACCAAAATCCCAAAAATGAAAGCAAGGTCAGATAAAGGGGTTTGATTTCTTCTATGCGAACACTGCATTAAAAATCTTAAATTACTATTAATTTTGAATTCAAATATCAAAATTAAATGAGAAAAAGCAATGAGAATTAATAATCATATTTTGTCATTTTTTTATAGAATAAATATATCTATATATCCTTATATAATGCTAAAAGTCTCTCGTTTGTATCTAGATTTTTAAATATATCTCATTTATTTCTGAAAATTTTTAAAACATTCAACTCGTTATTTAGATTAAATTTTTCGATCATGGATAAATTTTTTTACATAAAATTTATATACTAAAATAAGAAAAAATACATTTAAAGTCACATGATCTGTATTTTTTATTTTTGAAATCTTTAAAAATTTATTTATTTATTTACATTCAAATTAGGAATATTTCAAAAATATATATATATATATATATGGAAAAATTGATCAAAAAAGCAGCTTTAACATTTCAAATATTTTAAAAATAGAAGAGATGCAATTAAAAATTTAAGGATATATAAAAAATTTTGATATATATATATGTATATATATATATATATATGAATTTGGTGATTTAAATCTTAATAAAGCATCCATTTTTCTTGATAGGAGTGGGAGTTCGAGACTTCCTTTTCAATCCCCAACTAACCACCCAAAGCTTCACCAATTCTCAAAACCTTCCAACCTTCTTCTTTTGTTAATCCCGGAGGTTCCTGCTCGGACCAAGTCTTGATTAAGGACTTCCAATTCTAAATTTCCAAATTCTTCTATGTGGAGTAACTGAAACATTTTTTATGGAACTTGAAATTCAAATTTATTCTCTCTCTTATGTGCTTTATATGTACAATCAAGTAAGTGGCAAAAGAGTAAAAGATTAGTGTTTAGCTAATTTGTTATAACCAACTAAAACAAAAGAAAAACAAAGGAATAAAACCGAAAGCCAGTTGAAGCATAATAGAGTATAACGGAAGCGAAGGAAAGGAGGCACATCTTGCATGAGAGAGCTCGTCCGGCATGAGGGAGCTCCATGGTAAGTTTCAATGTGATATCCCCCTCAAGCTCGGAGCATAAATATCAAGAATGTCCAGCTTGATAGTGTTAGCTCCGAAAACGAGTTGGATGCGAGCTTTGGTAAAACAATCGACTAATTGGTTGGAAGAGGAAACCGAAAGAAGATGAATTAAGCCGACTTAGAGTTTCTCATGCACAATGTGACAGTCTAGTTCAACATGCTTTATACGCTCATGAAAAACGAGATTATGAGCAATATGTAGAGCCAATTGGTTGTCACAAAACAAGACAACGGGGCTCAGATAAGGAACTTAGAAATCACACAACAAGAATAGAAGCCATCGGATTTCACAAGTAAGAAGCAGTAAGGCACGGTATTCGACTGTAAGAAGAACGAGAAACGATCGTTATTTCTTGGATTTTCATGAAATCAAAGAAGGACCCAATAAGACATAAAAACTTGTTACGTACTTTCATGTAATCCGACATGTGGCCCAATTTGAATCACTTAAAGCTTTCGGTTTAAATGAGGAATCTTTAGCCAAGAACAACCTCTATCCAAGAGATCCCTCGATGTATCTCAACACATGATGGGCAGTTTGAAGATAAGCTTCGTAGGTTTGTTAAGGAACCGTGATAATTGTTGTATGAGAAAGGAAATGTCGAGTCTTATAGTGGTTAAATACAATAACCTCTCAATTAATTGTTTGTAAGCGAGTGGAATCCGGCAATAAAGGACTCGGTAGGGTTGTACAGGGATATAGAATCTATCATAAGAAATTAGATGGGTTTATCGCCAAGAAAGTCATAATCCTAAAGAAGGTATAAAAGCATACTTTCTCCGACCGAGATTGATACCGAGTTAGACCGAACAACCTCTAGTCCCAAAAAGAATTTTAGATCACCTAAGTCTTTAATTTTGAAGGCAATATGAATAAATTGTTTGACGATCATAATTTCATCAAGAGTATTATCGGCCAAAATCATGTCATCAACGTATATTAACAGAGCAATGAAATTACCACCAGTATTTTTAGTAAATAAAAAAGGACCGA